CTGATATGGCAGGTCCACAACCACTTAGCCTCAGCCGTACCTACACGGTACTTTCCAGTACCTGACAGTGAGTCAAAGACTCGTCCCCGCTCACTCTTAGCGTTGAGACTTTCGATGGGAAAGAGGGGGGGAGTCTCCTCCTTTGGATCCGAGAAATAGATATGACTGTTGGAGCCGCCTTGCTTCAATCGGAACGACAGAAAGTTGGCCTAGCTATTTATAAGCTCGGTGGTGGAGCTGAAGATTGGTCTCTTACCGGTGATATGTCGATTAGCACTGCGTTCCCCACCTAGAATTCTATAAAACGAGAAATGTATCGGGTGTTCGCGCCACCGAATCAATCGTATTGTGTTCGCTCTCGAATCCAAGCCACCAGGCATGAAAAGAGAGAATTATCGGACTTCTAAGAGTTGCAAACTCTCACAGCTGCTATGCAGCTGGACCCTCTTCCAGAGCAAGTCCGTGTCACCATTTTTATGGAGGGCCTTCGTACGGGGATCGCGAGGACGAAATTCTTTCGCGTCCAAACCCTTTCTGTTTGAAGGGATGTAGACATAGCGTTGAATGATGGGTTCAACATCAAAGCCGCTCGCTATGTTACTCATGGGCATGCCCACAGATCGATTGACGGGCTGAACCCATGGACCTCAGCCATGCTGAAGAAGAAGAGAGAGATCTTCTGGCTGTTGCACCGCACAGGAACGCATCATCCGTAGATGTTACATGTGCGGGAGCACCAAGCACTTGCGCCCTCAAGCCCACTGCGGAAGCCGCGTCAAAGTCGGCCGAGCCGCAATCCGCCTCCTTGCCCGAAAATGGGTACGGAGCAGAAAAACGGCAACTCCCAGTAGGCGCGGGGCGCCCTTCTGGGGAGGAACTAGGTTCTGCCGAATCTTTAGGTGGTAAAGATAGACAGGGCTTAGCCCCAGACGGTCTTGTGGAATTTTCCACGAGACGTGAGTATAATCCAGGCTTGTTAGTGGCCTCGGCTAGAATTAAGGGCTTCGAATAGCCGCGGTCAATATGAATTGACTCCGGAGGGTCAGGCAACTATGCTCGACGCCAGTCCCTAGAGGGATGTCAGCAATATGCAGAGGTGCTGAAAGCAATGAGGGTGATGTTATCACTGTTTGCTTAGCGATAGGTACTCGTGTCACCGTACCTAAAGTTTCGTTGAACTTAGGTGTGAAATTTTTAGATTTCGATAGTATCGAACGTTGTCTTGTCCTGGATTTGGACTCGAGATATGATCTCATCCTTGGGATGGCTTGGATGGAATGCCATGAACCGTGGATTGATTGGAGGTCGAAGACCTTTGGCGCATCGCGCAATGTTCCTAGTGAAGCTTTGTAGAGTCATGAACCCACCTTTGCTAGGCAACAAAAGCGCTATTGGCGCGCGCCACTGACGGAGTCTGTCAGTATGCTTGACATTGGAGTGTCTGGGCTAGTTAACTCTGATGTCATTGACAACAGTAAAACGGCACGTATTCCGTTGAGTGACACTAGTAACGATAGTGAATCACTGAATGCTGGAAGCATTGATGGCTTAAGGCCGAGTCACCCTGGGTTTAATCCCTGTGATGCGCGTGGAGTGGCACGTAAAAATCCACAGAGTGAGGTCTGCCGTGATGGCACCCCACTAAATGTCGGTAATGACATTGTTGGCGATTCGCCAAGGCATCAAGAGCTATGCTCAGCATATGCGCGTGGAGTGGCACGTAAACATCCACATAGTGAGGTCGGCCGTGATGGAACCCCACTAAATGTCGGTAATGACATTGTTGGCGATTCGCCAAGGCATCAAGATCTATGCTTAACAAATGCGAATATAGTGGATAACTGTCCACAGAGTAAGGTCGGCCTGAGGGCACCACACTTAATGTCGGTATTGACATTGGCTATCTGAGAGAGAAGTTTGAGGTTGAAGATAATCTTCACCTCGTGGAACCGGATGTTCCTAACACGTCAAAGTGTTCAGTCACTGCACAGAGACGACAGCAACGCCAAATGGCGGCTGTGAAAAGAAAGGCTTCGGCCATGACGCCGAAGGACACTAGTATACAGTTGTACACGTTAGTCAATGGGGTGTCGGGTGCGATTGATGGGGAAGTTAGCCTCGAGGCCCTCCCATCGATTAATGCTCTGCTAGAGCTAGACGAAATGTCTGTAGAAGAATTTCATCGAGCCTCAAAGGCTGGTGCTTTGTCCGACATGGTGGTCCTTAGACCTGATTTTGAATTGAACTCGTCATCCCTTGTAAATGAGACATTCGTTGAGGACATTTAAGTTGCACTCAGTGCTCGCAGTGGATCTGCCAATTTGAAGGATCCTTGGGATCTCTTTTATCCTTTGGTATAAGGATTTCAGGACGTGGTCTGTCATGATCAACCTTCCACTCTACGTCCCGACAGAGGTGTGCGTCATGAAATTGACCTGGTCCCTGGGACCAAATATTGTGTTACACGTCAATGGCCATTGCCGAAGGAACAGTGTGACGTCATTGACGAGTTCTTTCGTGCAAAGCACGCCGCAGGCATGGTGTGGGAGATCAAATCTCCACACTCGACACCGACACTTTCTGTCAGAAAGCCCAATGGAATGTTTCGTATTGTGCACACTTACAATAAGCTCAACGCGGCCACTATACCTGCGCAGACACCTATTCCAAGAAAGGATGTTCTTCAGAATGCTATGGTGGGTTGCAGCATGTTTTGTGCACTCGATTTGGTTGATAGTTATTAATAGCTGCTTATGCGAGCGAGTGATATTACGCTCACAGCGGTTAGCACGCCGAGTGGCATGCTTTTGGAGTGGCTTGTAATGCCTCAGGGACTTTCTAATGCCCCTGCAACATTTAATCGTCTCGTGACGCAGTTGTTCCGCCCTCATAGAGGATATGCACAAATCTATTTTGATGACATGTTTGTCCATAGACGTGCAGAACAAGGAAGATCAGATGCGGAAAATCACATTGACCATTTACGAGCAGTGCTCGGGTGCATGCGCACAAACAAGTTTTATGCAAATGCATCTAAATGAATTTTTGGTCCTGAAAAATCCTTTTTAGGGTACTTCATTGGAAAGCGCGGCCTACGGGCAGGCCCCGCTAAAATGAAATCCATTGTGGATCGGCCGGTTCCGTCTAACCCAAAAGACTTGCGTAAATGGATTGGTGTAGCCAATGACTTATACAAGTATAGTGCAAACTATGCTGACATGGTCATTATCCACCCCCCTTAAAAGGACGCGGTTTGGTGTTGGGGCTCGGTTCAGGCACAATATCTTCAAGCTGTTAAGAAGAGTCTCCTTCATGCTTTAATTTTGGATTTGCCTGACCCGATGTTACCTTTCACTGTCGTCTGTGACGCATCTGATTTTTCCATTGGCAGTGCATTGTTGCAAACTGATGTCGATGGACGTGAGCGCGTCATTGCGTATGAGTCTCGCCAGCTAAAAGCTGCTGAAAAGATATATCCAGTTCATGACAAAGAGTTACTTGCAATGAAGTATGCCCTTGTCAAGTTCAGAGCACATCTACTTGGCTTCAAGCCGTTTGTAATCTACACAAATCATGCGTCGTTGCGCACTGCGACCCAGTTGCCTCATCTCTCGCAACGTATGGCCCGTTGGCTTTCATTCTTCGCTGAGTATAACTTCGAGGTGAAGTATAACCCAGGGAAGCAAAATGCTTTGGCCGATGCGTTATCACGAAGGACGAATTTTGAGTTTGCTCATGTTACGACTCTGTCGTCTTCTATCCCTAATTTAATCCGTGCGATTTATTCCAAGGATGATTAGTATGTCGCGTTGTTCCGCACACTTAGTTGTGATGAGTTAAAGTACTCGGACAATAAATTGTCGGCACGCGAGCGTGCGAAGCTACATCGATTTTCTTTCGATCATGGCCTCTTATGCTGTAGCATGGATGCGGCGGATACTCCGCGCGTCGTAGTAGCTCATGATGTGGAATTGAAGTATCGTATCCTCTCTAAGGCGCATGATACAGCTTTAAGCGGTCATCTCGGTAACGATAAGAGCTATGGCTCGGTCAGCTAACACTACTGGTGGACCAAATTATATAAATGGGTGAGCACATACGTGAGTACGTGTGAAACGTGTCAACGGGTCAAACCCTACGCTCATGCGGCTGCGCCTTTGGCGAATTTGCCGATACCACGGGATGTTGGGAATCCATCAGTACGGACTTTGTGTTTGGTTTTCCAAAAGATTTGGACAAAAAAAACCATATTGTGTTTTGTAGACCGTCTGAGTAAGATGACTCATTTAGCGGCTGTGCCGGCCTTGATTGATGGTAAACGCACATCACGACTGTTTATCGATCGCGTGTCTGTCGATACGGTTTGTCTTTGGCAATTTTTTCAGATCGCGATCCTCGTTTTAATAGGAAGTTTTGGAAGTCCATCTTCAAGGTGCTCGGCACCAGATTGGACACGTCCAATGAGGATCATTCGCAGACCGACGGTCAAACTAAACGCGTTAATCGAGTCGTTGGTGACATTTTGCGCAACGTTAGCGCAGATACGCCTCGGCGTTGGAGCTCTATGCTTCCAATGGTCGAATTTGCCATGAAAAAATTTGGTTCATGCCTCTACTGGCTGCACCCCGTTCTGTGTGAACGGCCTCACCCATCCGCGCGTCCCATTGATGCTACCACTCCGTGGTTCCAGGCTTGGTGGGGGAGGGATTGCCGATTGGCTTGCTGATGTCAGCCATGACACTGTTCAGAGACAGGATGGTGAATTCATTGCATCGATGTTGAATGTCTTACGATATGTGCGAGACGCAATGGATGATAGCCAAGATAAACAAAAGGAACAAGCAGATGCTGAAGGAAGAAATTGCATTGAAAGTGATGATGTCGGAGACCAAGTCTTGCTAAACGCTAAAAATCTACCTTTAAATGTAGTGTCAGCTGTGTTTAAAACGAAGTTGCGCCTGCGCTTCAATGGACCTTTTACGGTGGTGGACAAGAAGGGTCTAGCACATACGCTCAACTTGCCGCGCAAAGACATACCGGGCGGGACCCGTCCCATGTTGACTTGAAGGCGCTTGCGCCGCGTACATTGACGTTGCCTTAGGATGTTGCATCCGAATAAAGAGGTCAAGTTGAGCCTCGACACGAGTCTGACGTGACTCCATCATCCGAAGACGGGCGCGATCGCCTTCCAACGACGCCAGACGAGATCGGGTGTCGCCCAGGGCATTCTGGGTCTGACTTAAAGTCTCACGGAGATCCTCCACTTTCTCCACCAACTCAGCATGGCTTTTAGCCGATACTCCGACCTCCACCGGCGCTGCTTAATAAGCATGGGAACTTACACGTCCATGTGGAGCGGGAACTTCAACGACGTCGTCGTCATGTTCACTACCAAGATCTGGTGAAGTTGCGTGGGTACCCTGAGTCTGAAAACTCATGGGAGTGTGACATTCCCCTCCGGCCAGACAGCCCATACGCCGTTGAAGTTTTAAGCGCCACGGCCAAGCTCGTCTTGACGAGCGTCACGCTTCTCACTCGTCGTAGTGAGAGCGGACGAGTTCGTGCTAAAAGATTGACGTGAATTAGCGGCTGCAGAGGCATCCAAAGCAAAGCGAGAGCGTGATACTCCCCGCAGACGGCCTCTGGCCTATAACTTCGCAAAGTCATAGCGAAGCTTTTGATCTAGACGAATGTCTGCCACACTGGCACTTTCGCGTAGCGCGTGCTTGCTACTGAAGTGTCAAACGCCATGCACCCAGCGGATAAACATATTAACCTCTGCAATTTCGTCCCCATCTTCCGACAAATTGATGGGTATACCTTTAATTGTAGAACTGGAATTCCTTAGGCCTGCTTTTGCAGCCGTTCTCTGTATTTACTCAAAGTAATCACAATAGTTTCCAAGTACATCTATCGAATATCCTTTCGGCCTTCAATTTTAGTAGGCGTTTTCGCCTCGGGGCCGGTGGTCTATGTTGCCAAAGTATGGCGTGACGCTTAACGAATTATTCCTTCCACGCCAAGTGGAGTGAACGTATATTCACTGTGTCGTTGCAACTTTGGCTGAACTTCTGATTTAAGCCGTGCGCTTGCCGCTTGATCGAGCATGCGTTGTTGCTCCTCATCAAGTGGGTTAGTGATAATGGATGTATTCATGTGGGACATTGCTACCAGCGCTGTTTAGCGCAGTCGCGGCACTACGTTCGAGAAACAGATTAGGTGCCGGACAGGAAATGTCTTTACGCACAGGCGTGTTAGGTTTGGATTGCTCCTCCCCATCGACTTTGATTTCACTACCAATGTCATAGTCCGCGTCCTCGACACCAAAAAATTCGGCTAGATCCTTATCTTCCAGGAGGTATCTAGGTCGGTCCATGTAAGTGTGTGACTTTTGTAACAGTATCAATTGGATAATGAATCGAGTGACGTTTGTGGTAGCGTCAGCATGATGAGAGAGGGTGTAACGGGGTCGCACTAGCCATTGTCTAAATTGGTCAAAGACCTTCCATGAATGATATGGATGAATGACTGTGACCTTAGATTTTATATCAGCAAGACAATATCGACTGATCGATATCCCCAGTTTTACGGTGCTTACTGTGTACGTACTTTGTACCGTCATCATTTGATGACTGAGTGATGTGCCAACCATCCATCCAGTTCGAACATTAGTATTCGTATTAGTTCTAGTTTAGCATAATATAGCGTACTTAAAGCAGGACTTTCCTTGATATAAAATCTAAATAAAGTTCAGTTCTCATTTTAAGCAGAAGTCCCTGGACTTCGCCCCCCCTTTCGCACATTGTGCCCTGCAGTTCCTTAGAAGTGCCATAGCTCAGAGAGCCCTTGGGCTCCTATTCCCCTGCGCATTGTGCTTTTGGTTCTATAGAACTACACAGTAGTTGAGCTGTTAGCTCGTAGAGTCCACCCGAGTTCCGTAGAACTGGGTGACTCTTTAACTTGATATACATTAGTTCCTTAGAACTACTAGGCTATCAGCCATAAGCCGTTGTCTTGTTAAATACGTCTTCCTCTGACTTAAAGAGCTGTGTAGCTACGCTATTATTTGCGACAATTACTACGGAGTAGTCGTCATCTATAAATAGGGAGAGGAAACGAACTACTCCCTGCAGCGAACGGAGTCGATTGTGATATTGATATGGGAGAGGCAAGAGCGATGGTGCAGCGCATACGACCTATTGTGCTAAGATTATGTGAGAAGTTGGCCGATTTGATAAAATGCCTATTGCCGGCCAGGATTATGCGACCTTCGACATCGCCGTGGGCAACACCGATAGTCGTTATCACTAAGAGAATGGAGAAGATAACCGACTATGTATCGAATATCGACGAGTGAATCAGCTAACACGGTTGATAGTATATCCTTTGCCGCTTCTCAGTTTATTGTTGCAGGATATGGATAAAATAATGTGGTACTGTTCATTGGACATGGCGAGTGTATTTGGGTGGTAGAGATGTCAGAGCGAGCAAGGTTAATTTCTGCAGGTATCATACGATCAGGCCTACTTGAATGGTCGAGGGTGCCTATCGGACCAAAGAATGCCCCACAAATTTATCAGCGGTTGATTGATAACGCTCTGTACGGGTACCGCAAGATTGGCGCAGATAAGGATGTGAGCACAACAGATTTATCCAGGTTGAACGATGCGTTCACCGAAGAAGAATCAGAAATCGATCGGACACCGTCAGTGCTAGGTAGACGATACTATAGATATCTTGTATAATCAGGTCAAGCGACTACTGACGTTATGTGATCGATTAAATTTGTCAATCATCTGAACTAAAAGTTCTTGGGACGGCGTAAAGTGGACGACCTAGGTCATCAGGTATTTCTAGCCGGGTTGGAGGCCAACCCCAAGAATATAGGAATGCTAGTCAACATCCCTTTGCCCGCAACGTTGTGTTCCATGCTATCATTTCTGGGTAGCCTGAACTATTGTAGTCGCTTCATAGATTATTTTTGCAGTATACGCATCGGGTTGTACGAGCTACGAGAAGTGGATTTTTTGAGATTAGTCATATGAACGGAATAGGTGGCAATGATAGGAGTTTGCGATTGCGCCATACGAGAAGATTATCTTATTTTGAAGGAACGATTTTGGTGGAAATAAGCCACTATCGCTGTCGCCCTGTTGAAGGCTACGTTTGCGGATACCCCGATCCTTTAGCATTTCGATCCAGATCTACTTCCAGTGATCGTGGTACATGCTAGTAAGTGGGCAGTATCGTCACCCGTGTTGAAGGTATATGATGGTGAACATTGGCTGGTTACATTCACGATACGCACACTGAAGCTCAACGATATCATAATGGCACGGTGGAGAAAGAAGTGTACGCCCTACTTCAAAATTTGGATGTGTGCTGTACGATTCTAGCACCTCTAGAGATCAGGGTGCTGACTCGATATTTAACATCAGCCTGGAAAGTTTAATCGTCTGGCCTCAACGGGAGATTAGGAAGGTGAGCCGCGCTTCTAACAAATTGAGCGCTGGAGGTCAGGAGATGCGGAAAAAGGGAGATGAAATACTCGGCGCATTCGCAGCGAGTATAACGCCTCGAGAAGAGGCGTGATCGCGATCGCTGTACAAATGAAACCTAAACCATTGGTAATCATGCCATCCCCGCGGTTGAACCGGATGAGAACCTCTTGGTTGGTAGTTTCGACGGATCGGCGCGCCAGACGGAAGAGTGGGTCATAAAGCGCGATCGTATCGAAACTACTAGAATGGACAAAATTGCAGCCGCTTCGGAATACGCAGCGGATCTGACAGTGAATGCAGCCGAATATCGCGGCGTGTTACTGGGTTTCGATCTGTTAGACGGCCAGACTAGGGGACGAGTCATTATATGTGGTAACTCGAACTTAGTGATTCAGTAAAATTGCGGGGTGAGATGGATTGTGAAGCGCCCGGGTTACAGTTGTTGCTTTACTAGGCTACGCAGAAACTTCGATCATGGCCGAAGCACGAGTTCCTGCGTATGAAGCTGGAATGGAATCAGAATGCGGATCAACTAGCCAGCGCAGCCTTGCAGAATAAAAAAGGAATAACTGTGATGACTGAAGAAGATCGGCGAGATCTGACTACGTTGAACCGTTTAGGTGAACTGTTGATGCCTAGGACGAACGATCCAGTTGCACGAATAACTGCGATCACGAAATCGGCCGGAAAGAGGCGCCTTCAGGCTGAAGTGTTACCGAAAGAGATGGTTCAGGAGATGAGAATTCGACGAATTGTTCAAGCTCAGGACGAAGAACGTTTCGTTAATCTGAAGATGTATCTGATTGAAGATGTTTCCGGTCCAGAATCAGGATCAAAAAAAGATGTATGCAAAATTAGCGCCCGAGTATGAGATTGATCAAAACTGCCTGTTGTTTTTCTGCCCTATAGCGAAGAGACGATCAGAAAAACGTGATGGTCGGATGCGCCTGGTAATCCCTGAGAATTTGCAACAAGACTTTCTGCACCATCACCACGCTAGTATGGAGGGAGCCACCAAGGTTTTGGCAGGACAAATCCTAGGAGGAGATCGAGATTTCATTGGAGAGGGTTGTACCGTAGTGTGTAACGATATGTAGGAGAATGCACCAATTGTAGAACGGGAAAGGGATTTCCGACGATCCAGAGAAGATCGCCGGGTAATTTAAAAGCAACTTATCCATTACAGGTTATTTCTATGGACCATACACTATCTTTGCCCAAGTCCTTCAAAGTAAACACGGAGTTGCTGGTTTACATGGGTTTTTTCAGGATATGTGATCGCGAATTCTAACTCGTCACGAACAGCACAAACGATCGCAGAAATTAACGAAGATTGTGTGTTTCGGCATTTCGGCGCCAGTGAGGCGATCAGGCATGCTCGATAACCTAGATTAATGTCCGACTTTTCTGAGCTTTCAGTCGGATCGGTAGACAGAGACAACGTGCTACAAAGGCACATAGGCCACAGGCAAATGTAACGGTCTAACGGATGGTACAAACTCTGACGTGGACGCTCAAGATGTATGTCGCTGATGTCAACAAGCAGGACTTAGATGAGTATGCTGAACATCTCACGCTTTCGATTAATACTGCACAAGATCGGATCCGGGTAATACTCCATTATATCTAATATATGGGTGGGAATCCGCAATCTAAGATGGAGGCTACGTTATCAGTAGGGAATACTAGAGACCAAGATCGCATTTCGAAGAGATGGAGATATCGAATCCACAGACAAAATCAGCGAGATCGCGCTATAGGGAATGATAGATTACGAGCTGCAACATAGGAAAGAGCGGATCAACATAACGAAGATCTGACACCACATGATATCGAGTGGGTACACAAGGTTGGCTATAATTAGACCGATTTCAAGAAGGATATGCGAAGAAGCTGGCACATGTGTCGCATGGTCCGTTTCGAGTTGCGGATATATG